ATTATTGGCAACCACTTTATTGGCCCATTCTTCTTGCCGGGACGACTTGACGGACAGACTTATTTCAATTTTCTTCAACAACAGTTGCCTTTGCTGCTTGATGATGTTCCGTTAGTAATAAGAAACAATATATGCTACATGCATGATGATGCACCAGCGCATTTCAGTGTAGCTGGTCTTAATGTTATGTTTATGTTGTCAGTTGTTGTTGTTCATTACCCCTAATGTGTTTAATTTTTCCAATTAAATTAATAATAATTTTGCAAGTTAGACAATAAAACGATTTTTATTTTTTTACTCAAAAATGGCACATCGAATGAAACAATTCAGGAGATATTATTTTTTTCAAATTGAACAGGGAATTAAAAAATATTTTTTAGTTGGCAAAAAACCATTGGCGTACTATTTTTTCCTAAAAAATATCGAAGTCAGTACCCAAAATTATTTTCGCATTGAAACATATGCAACTTTATTAACTTTCACTATGTACTAAATATCAGTGAAATATCTGAGCGGTTCTGAAAATATTAATTAATTTCCATTTTTTTTTTCTAAAACCTCAATACCCCGAGTTTTTGTAAGGAAACATTTTTGGACCATAGTTTATAAAACACACTAACATTAATTTTTCATGTAGATTCACACCCTTAAATATTCGCATATCATTAAGGAACACCCTGTATAAGAATAGTACAAGTACAATTGACGTCCGCTACATCTGGCAGAAAATCCGCTAATTTGGCAACATCGGACTTCTTCCACAGCAGCTTCGAATTCTACTGGCACCAAATTTAAAATCTGCTTTTCTTACCTATACGTATATATTATGCTATGTGGGGGTCTTCTTTTCTTCGCCAATATATTTTTCAGTGTATGCATACTTGTTCTTCATTTCACTTGAAAGTTTTAAGAGGCTTGTGGATAAAGTTAGAGATTTATCTCGGGCGTAGTTAGCGTGTACGTCCCATTTTTTATACCAAAGCAACCGCGCAGGCAGAAGCCAGGTACCGAAAAAAACTTCGCGAATCCGATTTGTGAACTGACTAAAGTTAGTAGAACAATCTCGGCTACCTATGAACAAAGACTCGGTCGTATCGGCCAGTTCTGGATGTACGTGTCGTATTAAAGCCTGTGGTACTTCGCGCAGTGGACCCAAAACTGCCCGCTTAACGCCTTAAACATATAAATATCCATTTCAGGTATCAACAGAATCCATCTGTTATTTCTATGGAGCGTAATTATTTGTCGTGGAATACCTCATTTCCCTCAGTTACCATTTGCCCTACGACCAAAGTGGATTTAAGCCAGCTTGAATCGTTTTTGGAGAACGCAACCGATATAACCGATAAAGAGCAGTACAAGTACTTTATTGCTACTATTGCAGGTAATATAAACTTCATAAACATCTCTGTAACCATCTATATGCAATGATATTTTTTATAAACATGCATGAAACACGTCTAGATAACAGTTCGAGCTCCCGCCTCCAGAAATATTTTGCAAAACACCGTCTGCCTGTAAAAGATCAGCCCTTACATATTTTTTGTTAATGAAAAATGTCCTGCAAATTAGTAACAAACAAACGCAATTAACCCAAGCAGGCAGGCATCTCATGATATATATTATACACCGTATACATCTACTACGGTGCTCTTTACTGAATAAAAATCAGGCAATTTAAATATTAACTTTGGGGTAGGTATAGGGATTAACAATTCTTCTCCATATTTATTTATTTATTTACTAGTATATACACTATCCGAACGGTTTATTACACCATTTAACGGATAGGAACACAGGAATCAATTTTAAGACAAAATTGTTCAAAAATAACTTAAAATTGTCAAACGACTTAACCTACTGTTATGTAAAATCTTTTTAAGCTACGCAAATTACAAAATAACAAATCTACTGCGTTTCTTGCACGTTCATAGTTGTTACATACTACATATATCGGAGAGGAAAGCAACGCATTGGTTCTAGCTACATTTAAGTAAAAGTATTTTGAATTGGATCGCGTCTTTGCATTAGGTACATGAATAAGAATCTTACCGAGTAAATATTCACAATATATGACATTTTTAAGCATTTTATATAAGAATACACAAGCAGCGTAGTTTCTGCGCTTCTCCAAGTTACAGAAATTATATCTGCTAAGTAATACATCATGCCTGAAGCCAACTTCTGGATACGTACCATCTTCTTGTGCCACAAATATTTCACAAACCGCCTCTGAATACGTTCAATTTTATTCGAGTGAACTTCATGAACAGGATACCATATTATAGAGCAGTATTCAATTTTGGATCGAACAAATGAATTATACTAAGTGACATATAAATCCGAACACCCAGTTTAAATGGTTTTATTATAATAAAAGTTGGTGAATGTATTTATCTTACTGTAAATAACAAGTGAAAAAATTTTCAGCCTTATCAGTTGGACATTCCGGTTTTTATACTGCTTTTTTTTAATTCACTAACGCTCTAAAAATGAATATTTCAGCCGCAGTAAAGAATCAACGTTGGCGGATTTTGGATCTTGACATCCTTTACGATCGGTTACGATGCCTAGAGTACGGAGACCTGTACGATTTCGTCAACTTAGTGAGTTTGATAGCGGCCGTATAGTGGGACTTCGGGAAGCTGGTCTTTCTTTTCGGGCAATTGCAGTTAGAGTGCAAAGAAGTGTAGACACTGTGGTTAGGTGATGTCAGGCATGGCTTCGAGAAGGCCGTACGCAAAGATCAAGGGGCACTGGACGCCGCCGTAGAACAACAGATCGTGAAGATCGCCGCCTAAGATTATTGGCCTTAAGGGACCGTTTCTCCACTACCAGGTCCATTTCAAATGAATGGTTTGCAGAACACGGAAGACCTATTGGCATGCGAAGTGTTTACCGACGAATGAGAAGTTTTGGCTTGTTTTCATACCGGCCACACTGGGTCCTCCCTTTAACTCGAGAACACCGACGTAATCGCCTTGAGTGGTGCAGACAACGGTCACTCTGGGATCAGGAATGGAACAGTATTGTCTTTAGTGACGAGTCTCGATTTTGTTTAGGCATGCACGATGGTCGTGCCAGGGTTAGAAGGCGACGTGGTGAAAGGAGGAATCCACAGTTTTTTGTTGAAAGACATGTTCATCACACTGTTGGAGTTATGGTTTGGGGTGCTATAGCTTATGGTTCCAGGTCACCTTTAGTCTTCATCAGAGGTAACATGAACGCGCAGCGTTATATCCACGAAGTTCTAGAACCCCATCTTTTACCCTATCTTGACACCCTGGCAGATCCAACTTTACAACAAGATAATGCCCGACCACATGTTGCAAGAGTCACAATAGACTTCTTTCAACATAATGATGTCACATTGTTACCATGGCCACCAAGATCTCCCGACTTATCCCCAATTGAGCACGTGTGGGATATGATGGATAGGAGATTGCTTAATTTGCAACGTCCTCCTCAGACTCTAGAAGCACTTCGAGAGGAGTTGGTGGTTGCCTGGAATGAGATACCACAGGAGGACATTGACCACATGATCAGAAGCATGCCTAGGCGCGTTGGAGAATGGGTAGCACATCAGGGTGCATCCACGCATTATTAAAGGGCAAAGGGCTTTAAAGCAGTGCAATCATTTTGAAATTTTTATCATTTACTTATTATGCTTCATTAAGTACTTATACAAAATTTTATTAAAATAAAACCATTTAAACTGGGTGTTCGGATTTATATGTCACTTAGTATATATAACGAGATCATGGTATGCACATTATTGAAATCCCTACAATTCCTGATAATGAAGCCCAAAATTGTATAGGCCTTGCTAACAACAGCATCAATATGCGAAACAAATGTAAGTTTGGTATCAAAGGATATACCTAAGTCATGAAACTCTTCACACATGTTAAGTTGCGAATTATCAGCGTTATATATGAATCTGATGGGAACAAGTGTGCGCGTAATAGACATAGTGTACCATTTATCAGCATTAAGGTACAGCTTGTTACGGTGACACCACTTATTTAGGTTGCTCAAGTCGTTTTGCAATATATTACAGTCGTCCATGGTTTCAATTTTACAAAAAATCTTCAAGTCGTCTGCATATATGTAGAAGGCCTACTGTGTAGCTCCCCAACGACGTCATCAATGGAAATTTGGAAAAGCACAGGGCCAAGAGCAGACCCTTGAGGTATGCCAAAAGAAGGTATAATCTGAGTGGAGATGAAGCCCATGTATTCGACTTCCTAACATCTGTTTGTAAGATAAGATTTGAAAAACTTCAAGAATTGATGGGTCAACCCTCGTGTAGCTAATTTCTTTAACAAAATACCGTGATCTAGCTTATCAAAAGCCTTTGAAGAGTCAACGTAAGCAACATCTACTTGCCCCCCTTCATCAACAACTTCAGAGCAAAACTGTTTAAAACACGCTAGATTAGTTAAAGTAGATCTGCCTTGGAAAAAACCATGTTGATTTGGAGAAATTTCGCGCTTAACATGGGAGAAAATTATATCATGCAGTATACATTCTAAAACCTTACCGACGTTGCTTATAATCACAACAGCTCTATAATTCTCAATGACACGTTAGCCTTTTTTAAATATGGGAGCAATCCTAGATGTTTTCCAAGCCATGGGAAATGTTGTAGTATTTTGCGACACACCGTCTGCCTGTTAAAGATCAGCCCTTACATATTTCATGTTGATGAAAAATGCCCTGCAAATTAGTAACAAACAAACGCAAATGACCCAAGCAGGCAGGCATCTCATGCCATAATTATACACCGTACACATCTACTACGGAGCTCTTTACTGAATAAAAACCAGGCAATTTAAATATTAACTTTGGGGTAGGTATAGGCATTAACAATTTTTCTCCATAGTTGAGAGGAACAGTTATAACTGGAATACTGTGGCAAGGATTTCTTAGAAGAATAATATCTATATAAAAGCTTTTTTTTCAGAAGCAACATACACGAAGTTTGATATGGCTGTAAATTATGACGGAGTTAGCTCCCATGATTATATGCATTTGATCAATGAATTCAAATTCAAATTTAACTCTAGCGTTTCATTCAGTGTGAACGATAGAAGCTTTCCTTTACAAGAGACGCTTACTGAGATGGGTTTATGCTACAGTTTCAACTCTGAGTTGGCAGCTTACAGTTCCTTGGAGTAAGTATCCAACTAGCAAAGATATTTCATAATTTTAAACTGTGCGTGTTATTTTATAACTGCTTTATTAGTGCTTTAGAACGTAGGTTTGCTTTAGTAAAATTGCCAGTAAGACAATTAAGCTGTTAAGAAGAACTTTTCTTCAAAAGGTAGTCGTAAGAACGTTCTTAAAGCAAAAATGCAAAACAGCTTTATGACAAATTTAATATTGTTTCTTTGCGAAAATTCACATTATATTTATCAGTACACCCAAAACTTGTAAAAGTATGCTCAAAATTTCAGCACTCCTAGTCGGTGTTGCATTTTCTATGTCATTCAGTATACAGGGTGTTCCTTAATGATATGCGAATATTTAAGGGTGTGAATCTACATGAAAAATTAATGTTAGTTTGCTTTGCTAAAAAATATTATAAAGTTATCATAATGAGAGCTATATATAAAAATTTTAAATACGGGGTGCCGCGTCGAAAACGAAACAGACGCATTTACTGGCAGCTCAGTTTTTTTTTTGAAAAACTCTCAGACCCGTTGATTTTGTTTTCGAGGAGAACACAAGTTTGGCAAAAAATCACGTTAACACATGCAGCCCCCTGGGCGGGGGTGACCCCAACCCTAAAATCTTAAAAGGAAAGGGGGGTCGAGTGATACCTTATTTTGAAGCTCTTTCAATTCCCTTTATAATGATGTAAAATGCATGAGCTTCAGTTCAGTATTTTTGAAGATTTATTGATTTAAAGCTTAAAGTAGACTTTAATTTAGTACATAGTTTGCGATTGATTTGACCAAACTTTGTTGCTAAAATAACTTGGAACGCTTTATTACATAAATTAACCATGGTATATACCACAGCAGAAAGAGTTGAAATTTTCGAAATATTTTTGGGAAATAATCAGTGCGCTAATAGAACAGCAGAAATATACTAAGTGACATATAAATCCGAACACCCAGTTTAAATGGTTTTATTTTAATAAAAGTTGGTGAATGTATTTATCTTACTGTAAATAACAAGTGAAAAAATTTTCAGCCTTATCCGTTGGACATTCCGGTTTTTATACTGCTTTTTTTTAATTCACTAACGCTCTAAAAATGAATATTTCAGCCGCAGTAAAGAATCAACGTTGACGGATTTTGGTTCTTGACATCCTTTACGATCGGTTACGATGCCTAGAGTACGGAGACCTGTACGATCTCGTCAACTTAGTGAGTTTGATAGGGGCCGTACAGTGGGACTTCGGGAAGCTGGACCTTCTTTTCGGGCAATTGCAGTTAGAGTGCAAAGAAGTGTAGACACTGTGGTTAGGTGTTGTCAGGCATGGCTTCGAGAAGGCCGGACGCAAAGAGCAAGGGGCACTGGACGCCGCCGTAGAACATCAGACCATGAAGATCGCCGCCTAGGATTATTGGCCTTAAGGGACCGTTTCTCCACTACCAGGTCCATTGCAAATGAATGGTTTGCAGAACAGGGAAGACCTATTGGCATGCGAAGTGTTTACCGACGAATGAGAAGTTTTGGCTTGTTTTCATACCGGCCACACTGGGTCCTCCCTTTAACTCGAGAACACCGACGTAATCGCCTTGAGTGGTGCAGTCATCGGTCACTCTGGGATCAGGAATGGAACAGTATTGTCTTTAGTGACGAGTCTCGATTTTGTTTAGGCATGCACGATGATCGTGCCAGGGTTAGAAGGCGACGTGGTGAAAGGAGGAATCCACAGTTTTTCGTTGAAAGACGTGTTCATCACACTGTTGGAGTTATGGTTTGGGGTGCTATAGCTTATGGTTCCAGTTCACCTTTAATCTTCCTCAGAGGTAACATGAACGCGCAGCGTTATATCCACGAAGTTCTAGAACCCCATCTTTTACCCTATCTTGACACCCTGGCAGATCCAACTTTCCAACAAGATAATGCCCGACCACATGTTGCAAGAGTCACAATAGACTTCTTTCAACATAATGATGTCACATTGTTACCATGGCCACCAAGATCTCCCGACTTATCCCCCATTGAGCACGTGTGGGATATGATGGGTAGGAGATTGCTCAACTTTGCCTGGAATGAGATACCACAGGAGGACATTGACCACCTGATCAGAAGCATGCCTAGGCGCGTTGGAGAATGCGTAGCACATCAGGGTGCATCCACACATTATTAAAGGTCAAAGGGCTTTAAAGCAGTGCAATCATTTTGAAATTTTTATCATTTACTTATTATGCTTCATTAAGTACTTATACTAAATTTTATTAAAATAAAACCATTTAAACTGGGTGTTCGGACTTATATGTCACTTAGTATATTTAATGAGCGACATGAGAACAGTAACGTGCATCGAAAATATGTTTTAGAACTTGTAGCTAAATTTTGGGAAACTGGGTCAGTCGCCAATAAAAAACGCAACATTGAAAATCCCATAAGGAACGAAGCAATAGAAGTGGGGGTTTTAGGGCAAATTTATGTAGATCCTACGTTAAGTACCCGCAAATTGGAGACTGTGTGTGGTGTTAGTCGACGTACTGTCCAACGGATTCTAAAGGCCCGTAGTTTTCATCCGTATAAAATTCACCTGGTGCAAGAACTTAATGAAGACGATTTTGATCGGCGATTACAATTTTGTGAAGATATGAGTGAACGAATTATAAACGATGAACATTTTCTATTCAACACTTGCTTTTCCGACGAATGTTCCTTTTTCTTAAATGGCGTAGTTAGTCGTTATAACTGCCGATATTGGTCCGATTCTAATCCCAGAATTTATCATGAGGCTCTTACACACCAGCCACAAAAATTAAATGTTTGGGCTGGTATTTTTGGCGATCATTCAGTTGGTCCATTTTTCTTACCTGGAAATTTGACCGGTGAAATGTATTTGGAATTACTGGAAGACGCCATAGATCCTGCATTGACAGCCATAATTGAAAATCAGAATGATCGGCAGTTCATTGCGAATAGGTTGATGTTCCAACAGGATGGTGCCCCAGCACATTACGCATTACGTGTTCGACAATATTTAGATCAGAAGTTTCCAGATCGATGGATTGGTAGAGGAGGTGCCATTGAATGGCCCCCAAGATCGCCAGATTTATCACCTTTGGATTTCTTTATGTGGGGTCATTTAAAAAGCAAGATCTATGCTACTCAGCCAACATCATTAGAAGACCTGCGACAAAGAATTGTGAATGAGTGCCTTCAAATTACTTCTCAAATGTTGCAAAATGTGCGGCAACGTTTTGAGCTAAATCTTTATTATTGCATGGAGAGTCATGGTGGCCATTTTCAACATTTACTCACCTAACGGGTCAGTTCATTCTTCATTTTTAAATTACTTTGCTGCCAAATGTATTGATCTCCACTAATGATGATGTATTAGTTTTATTTAAGTTTTAAATCAATAAATCTTTAAAACTACTAAACTGAAGTAGATTAATTTTATATCATTATAAAGGGAATTTAAAGACCTTTAAAATAAGGTATCACTCGACCCCCCTTTCCATTTAAGATGTTTGGGGTGGTGTCACCCCCGCTTAGGGGCTGCGCGTGCTACGTAATTTTTTGCCAAACTTGTGTCCCCCTCGAAAAGAAAATCGACGGGTCTGAGCGTTTTTCAAAACAAAAACTGAGCTGCCAGAAAATGCATCTGTTTCGTTTTCGAAGCGCCACCCTGTATGTATATGTGGGACAAAACCTGGAACTGTCTGTTAACCTAAGCCAAATTAACTTAAATTTTGTACACACTGTTGGTTGCGTAGCAATACGAAATGAATTAACTGCCACCATTTTGATTTCAATATGACATTAGCTACAAAGTGGCGATCGATTCATCATTTCCACAGTATCCTCAACGATATAGAGACACGATAAGTAATGTGACGTAATGGCGATTTTCGTTTTTAGTTCATTTTTTGAACAGGCAAGTGAAAGCTTGTTTATGAAAATGTGTTTTTTTTTATTTTATTTATTAGTCCGGTTATCCGGATATGTGTTTTGTTACAGATATATTCAAAGTGGAAAGCGTAGCTTGATGCCTGGTAATGAAATATTCAGCGTAAATCCTTTGGATGGAGAAGTTTATGCCAATTTGGTCAACATATCAAGTGGCTATAAGGTATTGATACGAAGCTTATTATTAGAACATAGTAACTATTTAACTTTGACACGTTCCTCCTTGAATACGGTTTACAGATTCTGATATAAGATTTGAAATAGATATAGCCGATATTTTCAAAGTATTCTAATTTTTAGGAGATATATTACCCTTTGTTAGGGATATCACTGCCAGAAATAAGTTCTACATTTCTTGCAAACCTCGTCCGTTGACATACACTGATGTTTGAAAGTATGCTCATTGAACATAACTGTGCTTTCTCATGTTTTCTTGCCTAAAACAGAAGTACACAATAACGTCAAGTTAATTAATTCTGCACTCCCCACGCAAGCTAGCCCCTCTTCTAAAAAGATTAGCTTCGAATATGTACAACAAAAAATTAAATTGATCAAATCAATCAAACCCTGGCTGCCTTTTGCTCTTCAGTCAACAGGTGGGGTATCCAACGACAAACTAATTTTCTTACTCCTAATTCTTCATGTAAACTTTTTTGAATTGAGGTCTTTGAGATCTTCAAGGACGCCTCAATCTCGCGATATGTCACATGTCTATCTTCACAGCATCGACGTTTTCCTGGGTGACTGCCATTTTTGGTGCACCCACAATGGGGTCGTCGCTAAGACTCACCCGTCCATGTTTGAATTCTCCATACCAACGGGAAATTGTCGACTGATGTGGCGCTTCGTTGCCAAAAACAGACAGTAACTCAGCAAGGCATTCTTGTTGCGATAATTGTCTCCAAAAGTTCTAATAAATTATGGCGCGAAAATGTTCTCGGTTGAGTTCCATTTTTCTAATGATTTGGTGACACTTAAAAATTCACTGTAGTGAGAACACTGCACGTACTGTTGTGAAACTTTGAATTTAAGTTTACTAAAGAGTGAGGTTAAGATTCAGTACTGACGTTCGATCCGCGCGGCCTACTATGTCTCTATATGCAAAACTTAAGAAACATCCCTCGTATCATTTAGAAAATATACCATTTCGTTCGCATCTTGCATGTTGTATATCTCATCCCAAGGAACCAAATAAAACATTTCCAGGAATTTTTGCTGGTCAAAATGCTTGAAATCACGGAAGGTATAATGTCTAACTTTGTTACGGATTAGTGCGGTAGTGATCCGAGATATTGTGGGACGGTAAAACTTTAACATATCTAGTGTCTTGGTCTTTAGAGCAGATAATCAAATCTATTAGAGTGCTCGTATCAATAAAATACAACTAAATAGTCCGTATTTTATTGTATTTATAAGCCCACTGGTTTATAACGGTACTTTGACTCACAGAGTATTTTTTACACCGAACCAGCAGCCCGGGAAACCGCGGCTGCTATGAAGATCCCAAAAAAAACTTTGTTGATCTGATTTTTTAAGCTCTCTGAAATTAGTAGAACTGTGAAAACCCTCGTGTTGTAAATTATTACACAATCTCGACACCGTCGGAATCCTAGAGACAGGGAGCGGTCGAATCGGTCAGTTACCCATAAAGACCGACTGTCATTGCGCTTAGACATTACCCTGTGCCTAATTTTTATATCATGCTGGTCTTTGGCATTGCTTCGTCATATTTTTTTGCCTAACAAAAACTTTCGTTTCTTTTAACAAGAAATGCGTACCTGAACGAAAAGTAAGTAAAGAGCGTGTAACCATACTACCATGTGCCAACGCTGCGGGCACAGACGCGCTTAAGATGATGGTCATTGGGAAATCTAATAAACCACGGGCATTCAAAAACATTGATTTACTTGTACACTATTACGGACAAAAAAGTGCATGGATGACAAAACACCTTTTCAAAAAGTGGTTTGATGAATGCTTCGTACCTGAAGTTAGAAAATGGTTAAAAGATCATTATTTTCCTCAAAAAGCGTTGTTGCTTCTTGATAACGCTCCCGGTCATCCGTCTGAAGAAGAACTAACAACTGAGGATAAATGCATCACTGCGATGTTTCTTCCGCCAAATTGCACTGCACTGATTCAACCAATGGACCAGAATATCATTCAGTTTGTCAAGCAAGACTATAAGAAAAACCTACTTCTGAGAGCCGTATCAAAAGACCAACCAATAGAAAAAACTTTAAAAGAATTTAATATGAAAGACTTGGTTTTTGCTCTTTGTCAGTCGTGGAATGCGTTACCGTCATCAGCTATTAAATCGGCTTGGAAGAAGTTATGGCCAGATATAGTCACCAATCCTAGCAACATTCCACAAATCAGTGTTACTTCGGAAGTTAAAGAACAAGTCGTTACTGAAACACAGATAAGTCCGGAAGATTTGGAAATCTGATGCCGTGGAATGGATAAAGAGGAAAATGTTTTTCAGGAAATGTCTGACGAAGATATTATAAAAGAGGTTTCTAATTATACAACAAACAATCAGGAAAATAACGACGACGTGATTGCTCCACAAGTCACAGCACAAGACGAATTAACGCCTTTGAGCTAGGTTTACAATGGGCTTAAGAGAATGGATACATCCTACAACAAACTTTTACTTTTGAGAAGACTGAGGAACAAAGCTCTGATCTCGTGTTATAACAACCTTAAATAAAAAAAATGATGAATATTTCCAAGCTTCATAATTTGATAAATTCAATAATGATTTTGATTAATAATTCTTGATTATTTTGGTACATATGATGTGCATTTATGCTTAATTTTATAATACAACGTAAGCTCTCTATTGTTATTTAATTTACTAAATTCGAAATACATAAACTATGTATGATTTGTACTTCAAAGTACATACATATTCATAATATATATAATCTTACATTGGATATGTAATTTGTCGGATTACAAGGTACTCTTTTGTAAAAAATTCCGGACTATAGGGGGTCTTAGGCAGTGCTCTATAATCCGACAAATTCGATAGTCCGACACTGCCTTGCATAATGTTTGTCGGATTACCAGCCGGTGGACCCTAGTTTAGGCACTTTCACAGTATGCAATTGCTTGCAATTTTTTGTAGTTGTTAGCGCTTTGTGGGAGTCAACAAAATATCACAGTCTAGGACAATGTTGATAAAATCGCGACTAATATAAACTGTCAATAAATTGAGAAGATGATTTAGTGTAAGCTTTCTACGGTTGTTGGGGCGGGATATCGATGATGATCATAACAACATATAAATCATGAATCAGCAAACAATACAAAATACTTTGGAAAGCCGATCAATGTGTATTGTATGAGATCTAGGCAATCGTATAACTTTATGTCATTAATGGGATCACGTCGAGAAAACTTTTAGTCTGAATAATTAATAACAGAAGTACTGTCGTATAAATATACCACATGAGCAGAGACACGATGAGTTGCCTTTCCCTTTCTCACTAACACGCTCTGAACGAGTATTGAATACCCACTTAAGATGAGATTCTTTTCGAAAAGGCGACCAACCGATAGAGTGACATTGGAAAATAAAGTCAAGAAATTGGATAAGCGGGGAGTGCGGGCATATTTGAGAGAGTATATGTTCCAATGCTCTATCCATGGATTGTACTTAATAGCCGCATCGAAGACGTGGGTAGAGAAAGTAGTGTTTATATTCGTTGTACTTTTGTCTATGTGGCTAGCCATCATCGTAAGTTACCAAACGCTGTACAGGTAATAAATCAAATTATTCAGTTTGGATTCAATTTATTTCGGATCTTTGATTCCTTAACCAAAAAGTAATATTTCTCCGTCAGACGCATCGGAATTAGGGTATTGCGTATCTTGAAAAGTGACATTATGTCGGTTTTTCTCGACATTGTCGCCTTTTTTGAGGTATGGCACGCTGCTCTATCTTGCTGAAGCACAAAATCTTGGCCGGATGTCAAACATTCTTCCATCACTGGTAAAAGCGATTTTTCTAAAATTGCCAAATATTAGTTTGTATCAACATTTCCATAAATAAAATGAAGTTTTCCTACTGCTTTTGATGACATACTGCCCCAGACCATAATGGATGCTGGAAATTTCACTTTTTTCTTCAGACAGTCAACATGGAATGCTTCATTTTTTTTGCGAATAGCTCTACTGCGACTGTCACCAACACAAACTTCGAATCGGGCCTCATCACTCCATTGTATTGCACACCATTGTCTATGTTCTTTAGCCCATCTAAGCCGATTTTTCTTTTGCAGTGGAGTTAATAGTGGCTTTTCTTTGGCCAATAAACAAGGTGTGCAACTTTAGGGTTTTTACTTCACTTTTTTCATAAGAAAACTTACCTTGCAAGTGCTAAATCCCAGTTTGTGGGCCTCTCTATGAGTTTTGCCTAGAAATTCTCCTTCCAACAGCGTCACTCCACAGAGCACTTAATTGTAAATAATTGTCACGACTGTTTTTCGCGATTATTCTTCTTAATGCTCTTCGGTCGGCATTTGTGATGTTACCTTTTTTCACATATCGTGGCTTAATATTAACTGAACCAGTTACCTTATATTTTCTAATAATATTTCTCACACTGTACCGCAATAAGTCTAACAAAGTTGAAATTTCTGAGTAACCGAATTTTCTCACTAATAACCTTTCCTCTACCCATTTTGAAAACCTTAACTACCCAAAACTACTTTAAACGTATTCTGACAGCTGTGGTTAATAAAAACAATTGTCATGGCTTTTATTTTTCACAGCCACCTATGCGTTATAGACTTATTTTGCATTGAAATGAAAATAGATTAATATGCTGTAATTGCAACATGTGTTATTTTTATGCTGCAAATTTGATTAGGGAGTGATAAAGTTGGTGTTTTCTACTATATAATATCAAAATATTCATTGTTAATATTTTAAACCTATAACACCCTGCTACATTTTTATTATTTGTGTTTGATAAGAAAAAACTAAGATTTCAATAGTTGGGCCAACTGAAGTGGGAAGGGGCTCGTACATCATATACTGTAAGTAGTTTCAAGCATATGCCGCTAGGAGCGCAACAAGAAAGTTGTGTGTACGTGGTTTCACAGTGAAACCACTGAGAAACAAAGGGTTAAGAGCATGCTCCTTCTTAAATTCATTGTAATGAGTGAGATAAGAGGTCTCGATTAATATGAACATAAATGATGCGTTAAGTTCGGTGATCTGAACAGAGAAAGAACATTTCATATGTAGTTAAGGGATCAATGAGTTTCCGACAAAGCTTCACTATGCATATACATATCTACACTGAAAATCAAATTTGTCTGACGGTTTGAGTTCAATGTGTACTAGCGAGAAGTGCATACTGACACATATGGTAGAAAGAGATAGAAGTCGGCTAAATAGCAAACCTCATCACCGCACCGTTGATTAGCAATGCTGACGTGACAATCTGCAGCTTTACTTTATCCTCTACGCCGAAATAATGGTTTTATTTTTGAATCTGTTTAGGATCGATTCCGAATCGGTCCTAACGGCGCTCCATTTTAGGTCCAAACGCAAGGTCGGGATCGGCAGAAATTCTGCAACATTTCATCATTGGTTCGCTTGACAACACTGCATCTTGAACATTCGTAAACTCACTCCACTCTCGGAATGTCCGGGTGGAGGGTGGGCTCGAGGGAACAACATCGAAGATAAAATTTGTTTTTCGAACATCTGCGGGATCAACAGCAACATTGATGCTGTTCATCACTACCTGCAATCCAATCGTCCCGCCGTGCTTTTCTTGGCGAAGACAAAAATCTGAGAAACTGCACCGATTAACCATCTCAACTTCTCAAACTACGAGGTGCACTCCAATCTGAGAAAGAACAGGGGAGTTGTGTCTTTTGTCCGCAGCAGTCTTTCCTGTTCCAGGGATCTCTCTTTGGAATCAGACCGGAAGGACATTCTGTGGCTTCGCCTCAACTCCAAAACATCACCCAAATTTATCTGCTGCCTTTATCGCTCTCCCTCGGACCATAACTGGGATGACCTACTCGAATACCTCGCCGTCCAGATCGACTTCTGAACATCAATCACCCCGCTTCAGAGGTAGTTCTTCTCGGTCATTTCCATGCCCATAATGAGCTTTGGTTGGGCTCAAATAAGATCGATGCAGCAGGTCGTGCAGTCGAAGCGTTCGCTGTTACTCAATGGCTGACCTAGCTGGTGACGGGCCCTACTTTTTTCCCCGCGTCTCGTCACACGCCAGTAGCCTGCTGGATCTCTTTCTGACCACGCATCCTGTCCCTTACAGCACTGCTGTCCTGTCCCCCCTGGGTAACTCAGATCACGGTGTTGTGGAGGTTAGATTTCGGTCAGAAGCCGCTGTGGCAGCAGAAACTCGTACAGGCCGCAAAACTTGGCATTACGGACATGCCGACTGGGAGGGACTCAGAGACTTCTTCTCTAGCTTTCCTTGGAGAGATGTCTGTTTCACTGACGCGGATGCGTCGACTGTCTGTTCTTCGATAACAAAAATTATCCACGTCGGAATGGAGGAATACATCCCTCACACAGTGAAAGTTCCTAATGCAGAGTCCATCGGCTGGTTCAACAAATCGTGTGACACTGCTCGACAGCAGAAGATCAAGGCACACAGAACCTACTTACAAAACCCCACTGTAAAGAACAGACAAGCCGACGTCGAGTCCAGAAACAAATATAAGGAAGCGGTTCGCAATGCCAAAAACCAGCATGATATAAAAGTTAGGCACAGGGTAATGTCGCAGCGCAATGGCAGTCGGTCTTTCTGGACGCTGGCCAACCAGATTGCAAAGAACTTCTCACACAGTAGCCTTCCACCACTTACGTGTCAGGATGGAACTATTGTATTCGACTCAAAGGCCAAGGCGGAAGTGCTAGCCAAGATCTTTGCTGCCAACTCCACCATGGACGTCCCCACCAACGCCCAAGTGCCGTCAATTCAAAGGGTTCCTCACACTATGCGGGAGGTAACATTCAGGCATAAGACCGTCAGACGAGTGCTCTTGTCGCTCGACATCAACAAAGCTGCTGGTCCGGACTTGATTCCTGCCATTGTACTGAAGAGATGTGCAGCGGAGCTTGCTCCAGTTCTTTCGCGTCTCTTCCAGATATCTTATGAATCCGGCACCTTCCCAGAAAACTGGAAATTTGCTCATGTACAGCCCATCCCAAAAAAAGGATCTCAGACCGACCCTTACAACTACAGGCCTATAGCTCTGCTTTCTGTTATAAGTAAAGTGATGGAGAGGTGCATAAATCGCGAGCTTCTGGACTATCTCGAACGTCACAGCTTGATTAGCGACAGGCAGTAGGGTTTCCGGCACCAACGATCCACAGGGGACCTCCTAGCTTACGTCAAGCAACTGTGGAGTAAACTCATCCAGTCTCATGGTGAGGCTCATGTCGTTGCTCTTGACATCACGAAAGCGTTCACTCAGCTGTGGCACGCTGCCCTCTTAAGCAAACTTCCATCCTATGGCCTCCCAGAAAAGCTTTGCAGATGGGTGGCTGACTTTATCTCTCGCCTCAAGATATCCGTCGCAATTGACGGATTCTCCTCTTCATCCCACAACGTCAATGCGGGTGTTCCCCAGGGATCGGTCTTGGCTCTCTTACATATTAACGACCTCCTTTCCTGCACGATCAACCCAATCCACAGCTTCACTGATGACAGCACTCTACATGCAGGAATTCAGAGTGACAAGCCGATCTCTGCCGCTGACCTGGAAAAAAAACTAGCGACGACTTCTTCTCTGACAAGAGACCTGGAAGCTATCACTGCTTGGGGACGCAACAATCTTGTACAGTTCAATGCTTCCAAAACACAGTACTATACTTTGACGAACAAAAAGCGTCCTAGCGCTCATACAGTTTCGATGGACGGCCAAAGAGTCATTCATTTCGGCTGGTCGGAGTCCAGACCACCGAGGACCTGATCTGGCACGAACACATCTCTTCAATAGCTGCAGCTGCTGGGAAAAAGCTAGGCTATTTGTTTAGGGCTAAGAAGTACTTTTCTACGCATAACCTTCTCACTCTATACAAGGCCCAGACAAGGCCTAGCCTCGAGTATTGCTCACACATTTGGGGTGCTGCCGCCCCGACTACATTATCCATGCTCGATGCTGTCCAGAGGAGGGTGGTCCGACTGATCGATGACTCCTCTCTAACAGACGGTCTCGGGACTCTTTCGCACCGGCGGGCCGTCGGCGATCTGGCTCTTTTCTACCGCTACACCAACGGGCTTTGCTCCTCAGAGATCTCTTCCATGATGCCGCCGCGCGATCTGCCTGCCAGACAGACCCGCCTGACTTCGGCGTCCCATCCTAACCGTGTCAAACTTCGTACATCCAGAACTGGCCGATACGACCGCTCCTTTGTCCCGAGGGTGTCTAGATTGTGGAACAATCTACGGGAGGAAGCTTTTCCCAGTTCGTATTAACGAAATTTCTTTGGGATCATCATAGCAGCCGCGGTGTTCCGGCATTTAGGCTTTTGCCTGCGCGGCTGTTTCGATACAAAAAAAAATATTCCAAGGCAAAGTTTCCAACTCCATGATCATAAATGAGCGATTTGGGTCAGTAACCGGTCAAAATTGAAATAAATCTAATCAGAATGATAACAAAATAATGTTCGAGCAGACATCCTTCTTAGGTTTGACAGTAACCTGACCTATTGTAGAAGCCTGTGCGAACATTTTCTGGTGTAACATATCAGCAACGCGGCAGATTGCACGATCTCCTGCGTCACCATTGCTAGGCAATGTGGTGATAACCTTCGCTCTTCAGCCGGCTTCTATCTCTTTCTAACATGTGTTGATACACACTTATCTCGCTTCGCTCTCGCACACATTTAACTCAACCCGTCAGACAAATTTGGTTCTCAGTAAATATAGCCTCCTTTCGTTTAGGTACTACGTGAACCCAGTTGTGATAAGCATCGATAAAGATCACCTTTCCTGGAACGTCACCTTTCCCCCGATCACCGTTTGCCCCTCCTCAAAAATCAACACGACCATGCTAGACGAATTCGTCACTTACAGCACAATCCAGAACAAGACACTACTCAAAGAGTTTCTCATCAGATTAGCCTACTCTGATTTCACCAACTTCGAAACCATTCCATACTCCGATGAAATTATCTCGGAGGAGTACCTCCATCTGCTGCTAGACCTGCAGAATGAGTTTTCGCCTTCTATCACCTTCAGTTCTTCGGAGGTCATTGATCTGTCGATGGTGAGAGTTGTCACGGAAATGGGGATATGTTATGCGTTCAATTCGAAGTTGGCACTCTACAGCTCAGTCGAGTAAGTTGGAGTTAAGTGAGAAACTTAAGGTAGGGCTAGCGCGGCAATTTTCCATGGCAAATATGACAGAAATAATAATAATAATAATATAATAATAATGTTTATTGTCACAAAATACAATTAAATATGAAATATTGTGCACAATAAACATAAAGCACCCAAAAAAAGTTTGCACTTGTGTTTGGGTTTGTACAAAATAAAAACTAATAGTACAGTCAGTGTATGAAAAAAAAAAGAAAAAACCCGTTAATACTGTATAATTTGGTGAATTATTATGGTAATGTCAGGAAAAATATCCAGACAATTAGAACTGAAGTAGAAGTATGGATGTTAGTGTAAGTAAAATATTATTGATTTTGATAATGATTTTTCAGATCTACAATTTCGTGGATGGAGTACCTTGGTTGTTGTAAAATCCATTTTTTTAGTTCTTTTTTAAATGATTTATTTGATTTAATTACTTTTAATGACTCTGGTATGAAGTTATAGAATTTTGGTCCCAAGAAAAACAGAGATAGTTGTGTAATGGTTTTTGCTGTTTGTGGAATACACATTGAATTTTGATTGAATCTTGTTGGGTAGTTATGAATGGTACGATTAAAGTATTTTGAATATTTGAAATAATGTATTAGACCACAATAAAAATAAATTTGTCTGCAATCTAATAGCTGAGCCTCCACATATAGAAAATCACTTGAATAAGTAATCTCCCTATGGAGGATCAATTTTAGAATTAATTTTTGGATGACCTCAACCTTTTTGTAATTATTATTCATAACTCCCCCCCAAGCCAAAATTCCGTAAAGTAATAGAGGATAAACAAGAGCATAATATAGATTATATAGATATTTCTTATCTAGAATATCTCTGAAGTACCTGAATTTTGGAATAATACATCTCAGTCTCTTCACAAGGTACTCTGTATGGGTATCCCATTTTAAGTGTTTGTCCAAAATCACGCCTAAGTATTTTATTTTATCGGCTGACTGAATCTGTTTGAGACCACTGCTTGTATGAATTTCAAGTTTTTTAAATTGCGGTGAGAGCCTGTCGTTACAAGAAAATGCTATATAGTGTGTTTTGTTGTAATTAATTGTCAAAGTTCTTTCCGAAAAGAAATTTATAAATGTTTTGAAATCATGTTCGATTGTGGTTTTTAGTGTATGCCACTGGTTGCTTTCATAGAGAATAGCTGTATCATCCGCAAAACCGATAACTTTACCTGTACTATTTATTTTGAACAAATCGTTGATAAATAGATTAAATAAAATGGGTCCTAATACTGAGCCTTGAGGTACACCGTGTGATATAATATGGGGTTCACTGAATGTGTTATTAATTTTGACGCACTGTGTTCGATTTGACAAATAATTTTCTATAAGTTTGTATGTTATTCCCCGGAAACCTAAGTTTTCTAAAGTTTTTAAAAGCGATTCATGAGTAATAGAGTCGAATGCCTTTGCCAAGTCAACAAAAACACAAGCAGTTGGTTTGCCAATATCGAGATTCGTGTATATTTTATTTGTTAATTTTACAATAGCATCTTGAGCAGATTTGCCTTCTTGAAAACCATATTGCACTTCCGCTATTAAGTTATATTTTTTTGCAAATTCGGTGAATCGTTTTTTTAACACTTTTTCAAATATTTTAGAAAAATTTGTTAAGATGGAAATTAGTCGGTAGTTGATGGGTTTTTCTCTTTCTCCAGATTTAAATAATGGTTTTACCATAGCGTGTTTTAAACATGAAGGGAATATTCCTTTATTCATACAAGAATTTATCAAATATGATAGTATGTCGCAGATGTTGCAATTTATTCTTTTGAGAGTATACGCTGTTATATTATCTAGACCTGGAGATTTTCTTAATTTCAATTCATTGATTATTGTCTTTATTTCATGCGCATCGGTCGGTTCCAAATATAATGAGTTATATAATCTGGTCTTACTATAATTTAATTTCTCCGCGTTTTTTATGCTTTCTGACAACCTTTTCACGATTTTTGAAAAATATTCACAAAATTCATTTGCTATATCTACATCATTACTCACTAATTCACCATTTTCTTTTTTAATTGTACTAATTTTGTTGTTTTGTTTTTTGCCTTGTATTTTATTGATAAATTGCCACATTTTGGACGAACAATTTTGTAGATTATCAAACTCGTCTTGGAGATATTTAATTTTAGCCTCTTTAATTATTTTTGTCAGTCTGTTTCGATATGATTTAAATTCATTCAAAAGTTTAACTTTTTAAATGATGGATTTATTCTGAGGAAAAGAATCAGGCAGTATGAGTAATGTGGGAGTGCAACATTAGGTTTTAAAGCAATATCATCAGAGGAGTAAAACATACTCTTGCTAGAATTTCTCAAAGACGGGCCAATGGTGATCATGTATTTAACCTTTGCAGTGACCTTGAAGGTTATGGTCAAGGTCAGGTCAATTTTTAAAAGCCGTAAAGGGCGGTGCGTTAAGTACAAAATAAAAACAAAAATTTTGGAAAAGTAGCGATGTATTTCTCAACGTAGTCTCCTCTTAGCTCTATAAACTTGACCCAACGATGCTCCAACTTCCTTAAAACTTCTGAAAAATATGTTTTGTGAAGATCTGACGGCTTGGAAAGAAACAGAAAATCGTGGATTTCTGTCAGGTTACCCCCCATAGTAACCGTTTTCGGGTACCTGGGCGTGGCGTAGTACCAAAAAGAAGAAAATATGGTACAAATTTTTTATTTAGTTTTACCTTCTACGTCAATGAGTAATGGCAAACACTTCCAAAGTAGATTGTTCAAGTATAATGCGAGAAAATGAATGTCATGTTCAATTTCTTTATTTAATTTTATACTCTTCAGTCAACATTACTCATGTTCACTGAAAAATGCATACGGACATTTAACAAACAAAGTGTTTGTTTTCATATGAACTGAAAAAGCTTTTAGGATGTAAGCACACGGTTTGTAGAATCTGCTTTCTTTTCTGGTTATTAAGTTTAGCGCCCTTACATTCATTTTCAAACTTGTAACCGAACAATAATCCATTCCAGCCTATGTTAGAATCAGTATAGCAGTTACTTATATTGCACAATGTCAAAAAGACTAGAACGACAGGTGGGCTATCTCCAATGGCTGGAACGCTAAAGCACTCTATTTTTCAAGCCTATTTTCCAGAAAATGCTATTTATCATATATCGTTTAGCCAGAAAAAATAATAATATGGATTACCCTATATAAACACAATTACTCTACGACATGTCAAACTACGCATTCAAATCAATAAAATCAAAACTAGGGAGCCCGTTTAGATGATCCATCCGCCGGTAACCCTTCTTCCCTTTACTTGGATATCTTGGTAGCCTCCAGGCAGTAAATCATAAAATCTTATTGCATACCGGCATGTGTGTTGGTGTATCTATCCAGTTGAAGGGTGTATGTAAAGCTAGACATACACACTAATAATATGCATATCAGCCTGGTTTACTATTATGGATATTCAGATTCATGATTCCGCCACAATATGATCTGTATGAATATTTTGGTGAACAAATCATAATCAACTGTCTCTACTCACACTCCGGCGATACACAACGCGAATCCGTACAGAAAATTATCAGTGTTTGAAAAGCTTCATTCCATTCTTTGATTTCTTACCTTCCGTCTTTCACCCATAAGCAATTGGTATATAAAATGCTCAAGTTGATGATTCCTTTATTACCAACGGCAGATTTGAGAGTGGAAGAATTTGCGGTGATTTTTAATACAATGATAAATCAACTTTCCTATTTTTAAATCGTCAGAACACAAGAGTTGAAAATATGAAATATACACATTCCTTAAAGTGTTTGTCTCTAAGAATTGTGGTTGCTCAAAATTCTTGTTATTGTAACCTGTTTATCGCATGTACTTTCGGTAAATATTACCGTGTATGTTTAGCTTTTGCTTAGAGCAATCCATCAGACGGCGGTAAAGGAGATGAAAGAAATAAAGTCGCAATAAATTATACTGGAAAAAAGAGGGACGCTCTACATAAAGACAGGTCGCAGGGCGAAGTGTTTCTGCTCCCCTGATTACTCATTGCCGACGGTCTTTTTAATAACTGGTCAGATCCCAAACAGAGATTGAGAGATGAATTCTATGGTAGGTCAAATATTTGGTATTCAATAGACAAGCCTAAAAGGTAGACTGCGCAAACAATAAATTATAATCCATCAGTTCATTGTTATAATAAGGTAGTGAATGGTTCAATAAAAATTCAAATAATTATGGAGTATATATATATATATATAATATAGCATAAAATAATAAAAAAAAGAGCCAATTCCATGCAATTAAAACAAAAATAATATCTTTTAAAATACAAACAAGTAATAAATCAATCAAGAATTCTCAACAAAAAATAGTTTCTGTATAAATCCATAAACAAAAGTAACAGTCTGAAAAAATTACATATTATTCAAAATAGATTTGCAGTATACAGTGAAAATGTTTCTATACTATACACTGAAAAAAATCTCCGTCCCCTCCCGAAGGGCAACAGCTCATTACGCTTCTTCTACATATTACAGTATATTATACCTTCCCCCGTGCTATGCAGTTTTCTATCTCTAAGACAGCCTCCCCCCCCCCCCCCAACCCTGGATCCTGAGCCTCCTCCAATCATTTTCTGGATAACACCACTGGTTGAGCAGTATCTCAATCTATGGAAACATTTACTTTTGCAAAATCAACCACAACATTGGCTCCTACATATCACTTTTATGGTCACACTTAAAATTTCCGTCATGGAACTAAACTAGGAAGTCACATATGAATAAAATTAACAAATCATAA